AGAGTCTTCGGCCAGACTAGAAGAGAGAATGTTAAAATCACTCTCCTAGCCGACCCACTTGACTTTTATTCATAAAACTTGAGTTACAAGAAAGACAATTTTGTCCCTCATAGAAGATGGGACACATAACTTAAACTCAGATACAATAGACATTTCACTTTCAAGAAGATACACCAGAATGACCAAAATACCCGACTCGAGCATTCTAACAGTATCAATTCACTATGACCAATCAATTTAAAGGTTTTATGATTGTATCAATTTATGACTCTCTCTCTCTCTCTCTCCCCCCTCCCCACCCCCCCCCAAAAAAAAAAGCGTATTTATGCCTATCATTTGCAAATTGACCTGTTTTAAAACTTGCAGAGGATGGTGAGGTAGCTTTCCTTGTAGATGCATATGTTTCTAGGGGTACATCTGAGGCTTTAAATGGAAAAATCATGGTAAAATTAAGTCCTAAGTAATTCTTTATTTTTTCTATTTTAGAGCATGACATAAGGGGATGTCCATTATTCATCTCCTCAGATATCATATAATCTTGTAGGATGCTAAATTTTATTTTTATTATTTTTAGATCACGACCTCTGGGAGGTCAGAGGCAATTGCAAAGGCACAGCCTGTTCTGTCAGGTATGGTCTATGAATACCATTGCTATGACACATTGTGGAAAACAGTTTTTGTTTGAATAGAAATTATGACTCGTGTTTGCAATTAGCTTACTCTTTTATGTATCTAATTATAAATATTAATTCCTGCAAACAGCAATGTGTGAAAAGCTTTACATTTTTGGTGGTGAAGTTGGTGCTGGGAGGTAAGCTTCCTTCTGTCTCATAGGTATTCCTGGTTGAAAGAAAGTCTGATGAGAACCATATTCCTTTGAGATGTTTTCATGATTTATCTATGAGTTTATTTATCATTTTTCTGTTAATGTATATTGAGCAAACTACTGAAAAATTATTCTTGTTTTGGCACTCCTATATCTGAACTAATTTAATGAACTATTGTTACCTTTAGTTGTTGAAATTATGACATCTGAGATCCATATGTTAATTACTATTTTTCATCTCTTGTAGCAAAGTCAAAATGGTAAATGAAGTTCTTGAGGGCATTCATCTTGTTGCTTCAACGGAGGCTATTTTTCTTGGTACACTAGTAGGGATTCACCCGTGGATAATTTATGATATCATTTCCAATGCTGCTGGAAATTCATGGTGATTGCATCGAACTTACTATGTCATAACCGTTTTCTGATGAATTGGTTCTTGTTGAAAGAATTTGAATGGACCGATTATTTTCTTTTGCTTCTGAGAGCCTGGAAACATGTCTCCAAGCATTGACAGCTATGACACCCAGATACAGCAATAACATAGCTGCATATGAAATTTGCACGAAAAATTGAAGTGTCTGACACAATACAGCACCATGTAGAGGTATCTGGGTACCATAGGTTGACAATAGTTATACAAATAATGATATTGGTCCTTGAACTGTCTTTTTCTGGTACATTTTCCAGAAAACATTTTATTTTGTCAGTTTTTTTTCTACTTTATTGGTCATCCTCATCCTTGTGTTCTTAATTAGGATCTAGATTTATTTACAATGCTTAGCAATATTTTTACTTCTAGAATTGCAATATCTATCCCAACCAAAGAACAACCAAAAATTGACAATGATAGAAAGGATGCATCAAAAGACAAGATAGGGCATATGTGGATTGTATGCACATCACCATTGTTTTTCTGAGATAAGATAACCATATTTCATTGAAAATAAAAGAGGTACATGAGAAGATGTTCCTCACCAAATTCCTTTAGCCCTAAAGTGATATTTCAAATTCTTCGCTGATTTAATTTTTAAATGTCTGACTAAATTGCATTAAGTGAAAAGATCATAAATTTTGGAAAGAATATTACTGCAGCCTAACTGTAGGATCATCAGAAAATTAAGCAGGAATGAATTGAGGCTAATATAAAAATAAGAAAATTAGTTTTAGGAAGTTTTCCTTGAAAAGATTAACACTTGTGATATGCTGCAGAAAAGAAGGCCAAATAAATGCCTATCTTCTCACATGTGCTTTCTGTGTAAGAACAATGGTGAAACCATCTCCCATATATTTTTATCCTGTCCTTTTGTACTTTGTATTTAGGAGCAGCTTTGTTCTCTCTTTGGGTGCAGGTGGACTCCTCCTCAGGATGTGGAGGGAGCAAGGTTTAGCTGAATGCTTTAACTGTTCAGTGGGCTGTGGAACCAATGATAAGGTTCCATGCCAGTATTAAATACATGGGGCCCATGAATTTATTACTGGTGTGGAACCTCATCATTGGCTCCACAGCCTGCTGAACAGCTAAAGCATTCAGCTAATTCAAATTCATGTGGTGGGTCTCTTTGATCCAAACTTCTTGAGAAACCAAAAAAAGGGGAAGACTTTTGTGGAAAGCAATGAGAGCTGCCATGTTATAAACTGTATGGGAAGAAACAAATGGGAGGATCTTTAATGCAAAAAATCGATCAGAAAATGGAAGTCGTGGATTTGGTAAAAATTAAAGTTGCACATTGAGTGATACCATGGAGGACTTTCAAGGCTTCTCAACAAATGACATTTTGAGAACTTGGAAGGAAGTGGCTTCTTCCGCTCAAGCCAAGGAAAGAGTAAATATGGAATGGAGATCCCCAGAAATCAACTTTGTTAAACTCAACTTTGATGGGAGTTACATTGGTAGTCAGGTTGTGGCAAGGTTGGGAGGAGTTTTCAGGGACTCAGAAGGAAAATCTTAGCATTGTGTTCAGGGCCATTAACAGATGGTAATGCATTGAAAGCAGAGATGTGTGGATTACTCCATGGGCTAAAATTTGCTAAGCAATTCGGTTTCCACAACTTGGAGGTGGAAGGGGACTCACAGGTGGTCATTTCATTGGGTAAGAGGTAGCTCCCAAGTCCCATGGGTCTATGGACATACTTTTCGGGGAATAGAAAGCATATCAGGAGAGCTGAATGCTGTCTTTAAATGGGTGAGAAGATCAACAAATGGGATGACAGATGTATTATCCAAACAAGGGACAAGGAGGCACCAAATGTTCTGGGCAAATTATAAATTATAGAGTTTCTCTAAGGTGGAAATTCCACCTATTGTGATACTTGAAATTGATATTAATAGAATCTTCTTTCTTACTGATAAAAAACTAAGAAAATTAGATACTGTAGCAACACTGGAAACAGAAAACTATGAAGAAAAATGGGAAGGGCAGAAAACCTAAGGGACCAGAACTCTCATCTCAAACTCAAGCATCTCAGAAAACCAAACAGAGCATGCTACTTTGATCTGCATAAGGCCCTTTATTTCCAATTAAAAGTTCGCAATCCTACATGGACTAGTAACCAATAAAACGAATAGTAATCCTAATCTGATCATAAATTCAGTAGCAAGTTAGAACTCTTACAACTCCTAATCACAACATAACTTGGGAGGATGAATGGTTGGAGGTGAGGAAGCACTTATCGTGGAGAAAACTGAGTAGGAAGGAGAGGGAAGAAGGAAGAAGAGAGGAAGAGAAGAAGAAAAGATGAAAAAAAATGAGAGAGCAAAAAAGCAAAATTCCTGGGATCTATTATTCATATTGTAGGGAGATAGTACAAAATAAAGTAAAAAGACTCAAGTGCCCTTGTAGCACATAAACCAAGTATATTACTTCACTCCCCTTCAAGTTGGGGCATAAATATCTATCATCCCCAGCTTCTTAGAAAGTTCATAATGCCATAAATAATGAAGGCCCTTTGTAAGAATGCCTGCAAGTTGCTCTTTAGCGTTGACATATGGAGTGAACACCTCTCCCTTTCTCTAATTTCTCCTTCATAAAGTTTTTATCCACCTCAATGTGCTTTGTTCTATCATGGAGGACAAGATTAGCTCCAATATGGATGGTAGCTTTATTGTCACAATAGAGTGACATAGGGCCATCAATTGCAAATGCTAATTCACCTAACAAGTTCTTAGTCCGTAGAACCTTTGCAACTCCATGGGACATGGCCCTGTATTCTACCTTTGCACTAGACCTGGCCATTACACTTTGTTTCTTACTTCTCTAAGTAACAAGATTTCCTCTCACAAAGGTACAATAACCATTGGTGGATTTTCTATCATCCATTGAATTGGCCCAATCAGCATTAGTATAAACTTCAACTTTCATATGCCCATGCTTATTAAAGAGGAGGCCTGTTCTTGGGAATTTCTTTTTAAGGATTGAAGTTGCAAGGTCAAAAGAAGGAATACACATTTGCTAGAGAAAGTATATCCTAGACTTATTAAAGGAAATATGTATGATGGGGAGTAGACCTATTGATACACCAATGGAGGTGAACCATGGGTTGTAGGAGTTGGATGGGGAAGGTATTAAAGGCTTGTGGGAAAATTGATATTATTATTTCTTACCAGGCCAGATATTGCCTATGTGGTACATGTTGTGAGTCAATTCATGTGTGCTCCTAATGTTTCTCATATGAAGGATGTTTGAGGACCCTTAGATATTTGAAGACATGTCCTAACAAGTGAAGTCTATTCAAGAAGCATAACTTGAGATTGAGGCTTTTATTGGTGCTGATTGGACATGTTCTATATGAGACAAAAAGTCTACATCAGGATATTGTACCTTTGTTGAAGGAAATTTAGTTAAATGGAGAAGCAAGAAACAAAGTGTTGTTGCAAGATTAAGTGTAGAAGCAGAAATGGCTCATGGTGTTGTAGAGTTGTTGTGGCTCAGATTATTTTTATAGGGCAATGGTTCATATGAAGTCAGTTTATGCATGCTCCCAATGTTTCTCATATGAAGGCTGTTAAGAGGATCCTTAGTAACACGGTGGAGTATAATGGGATTGAAGAGGTGGGAAAGCAAAGTCCAACTAAGAGGATGTGAAAACCCTATTCAGTTCTAGGTTAAAGTAGAGAAGAAGAAGAGGAAGGAGAAGAAGAGAAGAAGAAGATGAAGGAGAAGAAGGGTTTGGCCAGTTGAGGAAAAATAGTCCTCTCTAGTCGACCCACTTGTATTTATCTTGAATAAACTTAGTTACAAGAAAGACAATGTTGTCCCTCATAAGTGATGGGACACAACTTAAACTTGAATAAAACAGACCTTTCACTCTCAAATAGATAAAACCAAATGACCAAAATACCCCTATTCTGTGAACTCTAACACTTCCCTTCAAGCTGGAGAGTATATGCCATATAGTCCCAGCTTGTAACAAATATAATCTACTCTGCCCCGAGACAATCCCTTTGTAAAGAGATCTKCCCACTGATTTCCCGAGCTCACATGAGATGTGGTTATCACTCCACTGATCACTTCCTCTCTTACAAAGTGACAATCGACCTCAATATGCTTGGTTCTCTCATGGAAGACTAGATTAGAAGAGATGTGAACAACTGCTTGATTATCACAATATAGTCTCAT